AGCTCATTGAGATCGACAAACAAAAGCACAGTTGGCCCAATCTTATTTAGGATTGTTCAATTATAAATTAATTCTAACAAACAAATGTTAAATTTACTTTTTTTTTTGTTCATTAATGTTTAATTCCCAATCGGAGGTCATCACTGACTGGATATCTCCAACAAAGAACTCCAAATTTCTCTATCACAGAAAAACCACAAAGAGCATGAAACTACATAAAAAATTGAAAGCAAACACAAGAAAATCGAAGACCATCACAACAATAATCTAAGTTCATCACCAAGAGCATTTCTACATATTTCTCCAAACTTTTCAAAAAAATTTCTTCAAATTTCTTCGTCTAAAAAAAAATCACAAAGCTCAATTACCCGACAAAGAACTACAAATTTTCCCATCACAGAAATACCACAAAGAGCTGAAACCACATAATAAATAGAGCTCATTCACATGAAGATCGATTGCTCGAAGGTATGCACTTAAAAAAACCAAGTCCATCATAGAAAATCACAAAGATTGGTGAGGCAGACAAACCAAGAATCAAATAGAGCATATACTTTGAAAAAGTAAAGGATGGAATGTACTGGAGGATGGAAAAAGAAGATGAAGAGAAAGTAGGAAGCGAGCTCTCGTCGCAACTACCAGAGGATGAGGGAAAATGAAGATAGGCAATGTACTAGGACTTGATCATTTTTACTCGGGCGAATGCAGGGCCATGGAATTCAAGGAATTTACTTCGAGTGAAATCGTGGAATGCAACTAGCCGAGACCGACAAGATTATTTAGGTGTGTTTAATAAATAGAGCACACCCTCACCACTCCTACTAAATAAGTTTTCTTCGTACCACTCCGTAGAAAAGTTGCCCTAAACGAATATTGAATTAATATGCCCAAATCTGTGACATTTGCAACACTTCATGGTGGTGACAAATTTTGGAATGTTGGTTCTACTTGTTTTCTACTTAGAACTAATGACTTCTCAGACGATTTTGGTTTGGATTTTCCCCTAGATGTATTCTGGTTGTAAGATCATGAGGTTGAATCTTGCTTGTAAGATGTGGTGGTCGCCTAATGATGTGGTCTCTCCACTCTTTAACTAAGATTTGAACATTCAATCTATAGTGAATTGGTATATATTTGCACTGTATCTCTCGTTATATCTTAGATCATGTAGTGATTTTGTCTTTTCCCTCACACTTGCATAGGTATTTTAAATTTTGCCACCAAAATAGTATTTTTTATTAACTTGGTGGTTGTTTATTTCACCTTTACGTTTGGTAGGATACCTTGAAACTGAAAGATATTCTAAGGTCCAGAGCCACTTGGTATACTCGTTCAAATTTATGTGGTCATTGAAATATGACAAATCCACATTTATTTCAAAATTCTAATTTCTCAAATATTTGTGGTCACACCTTCAAAGCAAAGTTTTTTCATCCCTAAATTCTCATGGTAGATGAGATTCAATCCATTTCTTCGACCAAGCAACTCACCGTTGTGGCCACGGTAACCCATCTGGATTGCCTCCTTTCGAAGGTGGCAAGCCTCTGTTGTAGTTTTTTGGTTTCCCACTGCATATTCTCCTTAGAAATTCCTTGGCAACCTCTTTGCAAATTTCTCATAAATTTCATTGTGTCATTTCCCCTCTATCAGGCTTCCAACGATTATCTCCTTGGCTACATAGCTAGGTTTTGATTGTGAGTAGGTGGAAGGAGGCGTGTGAGGGTGATTTAGGGTTAGAGAAAAATTTTAGATGGAGATAGGGTAGTGAATGCCAGAAATCCTAGGATAGGACTAGGGTTATACTAGCTTTAATACCAAATGATACTGATGTTAACCCATACAATAATAGACAAATAAATATTTTTACTAGTAAAGCCAATAAATGATTACAATTATACGAAAGGAAAATAATGATATACTCAATAATTCAACACAAATTAGGGTGGATCTCAGGGTGATGGTGGTGAATGGTGAGGGGTGGAATGTGGCGAGATGGTGGACGAGGTGGTTGACAAGCAGAAAACTAGAATGCAACAGTTTTTCTGGGTTCCAAATAGCAAGGACTCAACAGAAATTGACAGTCACACCGATGTCCGGGATGACGGTAGTAAAGGGGAAGGGTTAGAAGAATAACGGTAGCGAAGATGGAGGGTTGGAACAATGATTACAACGGGTATGGAGGACTGGAACAACTATGACATCACATGGTAGGGGATGGAACAATGTCTGGGCGACGGTGAAGTGGTTTAGAATAGCTGGAACTACAAACAAGGTTGCAGAGATGTATTCCTCGTGGTCGGAATAACGACCAAGGGACAGGGAAGGCCGTTGGAAAGCAGAAACTGCAGAATATGATTTTGGGTTTAGGGCTAAACCATAAAACTGTAGAATACAGTCGAAAGCGGTTGTTTCGGGAGGTTGGAGCATAGAAGGGGCAGCTCGAAGTGATGTGGGAGGATGCATAGAAGATAGGAGAACATAATCACCATCTCGTGAGAGCGACACAACCAGAGCAACATCCAATCCCTTGTATACAACCTTCAAATAGAGAAACAACATCTTGCGGTTGTCCAAAATAAACTCATGCCAAAACTGGAAGTCTAAAAGCAAGAATCACATATATAAGCCCTAAATAACTAGGATTGGATCCCCTTATGGAAGGATGGTGCCAATCTCTTGTGAGGAGCCGATCGACCCTCCTTGGTCTGTACCAGTTTGGTCCAGACAAAGAGCACCCGCGACTCCCTTTACGCCGCACCCACGACATTATTGGCACGCCTGAGGCTTTTTTGTGTGCCTTTAGCTTTTTTCGCTTGCCCGTAGCTATATTCGTGCGTCTTTCTCAAATTGCCTCACTAAAGTCATAATGGATGAAGACATTACTCACATTCAACATACAAAACTTTTGATTGACTATAACATATAGAAGGAAATGGATGAAAATAAACTTAAGTAAGGCTTGTCTGGAACCTATTTTATTTTTATTTTTGTTTTTTTCTTTTTTTTTTAAATATATTTATTTTGTGTGTTTTTTACATGTTTTAATATTCTGTTTCTAAAAATAAATTAAAATGTTTCTAAAAATACTCAAAACAACATTAAGACGTTTGAATGTTTACTAAAACAATGATATTTTAATCAAACATATCAAACATATTTTTTTTTTCAAATCAAAATATACACAAAACAAAATAAAAACCAAACAAAACTTAAAAAGATAAAATTGATCCCAAATGACTGCCTTAGTAATTGGTCGTTGTTTAGTCTATCTCATTGACATATGTGAACTATTTAACAACCAATCAAGATTTATATTTATATGAAACATTAATGTCCCCATAACATCAATCAATATTGTTGCTTTTTTGAATTTATTTTTTTTGTTTATCAACACATTTCTATTGAGATGTATAAGGATTAGAAGTGTGATGAATAATACTTTTATTAGAGCATAAATTGCTTAGCTAAGTCTAACATAAAGAGCTTTGTTAATGTGTGAACTTATGATTAAAGTGAAAACATTTTTTAATTCTTGGTAAGAAGTTTGAAGTACAATGAGCAATTCCGTATATATTTGAGAACAATCATAAATGAAAGTGAAAAAATACTGAACCCTAAGAGCTTGTTTGGGATCACTTTTGTCTTACATGTTTTAGCGTATGTTTTATATGTTTTTATTTTTATTTCTAAAAGCAAATAAACATATTTTTGAAAATAGTGAAAACAACTTTTATATGATTTGAGTATTTTCAAAAACAACAATATATTAATCAAAATAAAATGAAAACAAAAAAAAAATAGAAATAAAAGTAAAATTGATCCCAAACGTATGGTTATGGTGATGAAACTTGAAGAGAGATGAAGAAACCACAATAAAATCAGAAAATTTATTAGGAGGATTAACAACTTCAACATCTTCATTGATCATCTTTTTGAAAAATATAATGAGAGACAAAATGTTACTAAGTTAAAATTTTTTTGCAATATATATATAGGGTGGTATTTGAAAAAAAAGGGTGGTATTTGAGAATACCGCTCCCCACATGTGTTATCTGTAGGGATCGAAACTGGGTCAGAGTGGTCTTACGACGGACAACACAGCTGTCTACCAACTTATCTCCCAAGGGTGCACATATAATAAAACCTTTGATTATAACAAAAGGTTTAGGAGAAAGTAATGCCTCTTTTTAGAAATGAGAGGAGGGGAACCATCAACAATAATTAATAGGGGTAAACATGAGAAGAAATTTTCTTATAACTTAGGCATCAAATTTTCAATAATATGGAGATCAGGCTAATTGTTGATGGAGTTCTAATCTGTCATTACGGACTTAACAAAACAATATTTAGAGGTTGGCTGCAGACCAAGTTGGTATTAAAAGTATTGGAGCATTTACATATATACCTCCCAATATTTTCATATATTGCACCTAAAACTTGCTTTTTACACTTACACCACCAAAATCTTTCATATCACATCAAAAATATCATTACTTCAACATTTAAAAAGTGAAATGCAACTTTTCATGAACAGGCAATGTGGCATATATATAAAAACTGAAGTTTAGGAGTGAGATATGTAAATACATAAGAATTGAGTGGGATGTTATGTAAATCTTCCTGAAGTATCTGTCCTTGGTGCATGATTTGAAGGAGAATAGGGTGAAGTGCATGAAGCTGCAATCCATTACCAACGCATTGAATCTTAGTGATCCTAAACTTCTTTTTTTATGTTGGACCACCCAAATCTTTCATATCACATCAAAAATATCACTATTTTAGCTTTTAAAAACTGAAAAAACTGAAACAAACGATTTCATGCCTAACAAGGTGGCACAAAAATTGAAGTTTAGATGTTAGATATGTAAATACATAACAATTAAGTGATATGTATGTAAATCTTCCTATAAAATTTACATCAATATTTTCAAAATGATTCTCACTATTAACATAAATGATAATGATTATGATTATGATTATCATCTTCTTTCCTATTTCAGGTTTTTGTGTACCACAAAGATTTTCCCATGCCGGTCTTATCCTACAGATTTGGGAGCACTGATACCATATCCGGCCGCGACGCCGACGATTCGAACCAGTTTGTCTCGTGCTTGTGTTGGCGCGGCGAATCACATTCTCTTGTTGCAGCGAATTCGATCGGGAATATCGAAATTTTGGAAATGGTGTAATTGTTTTTGTTGTAGAATTATGAATAGTGAGAAATTTGTAGAATGCAACATTTGGATCTTGTTGGTTCATAAAGAGGTGGGTGAAGGTGATGAGATGTTGTATGATAGTAGAAAAATGACAAAGCATTGTTTATAGGCAAAATATAAATTCAATCTTATCTGCTGGTTCTCTTTTAATTTTTTTTTTGGGAAGCACACAATGCTTGTGCATTTACATATCTCACAACTTTCATATTTATGTATGTAGCAGTGCTTTAAATCTATGCATGAAAAGTGCATTTCACTTTTGAAAAAAACGACCGTAATGCCATTTTTGACGTGATATTAAACATTTGAGTATTGTGCGTAAATATGAAAGTTTAAATGAGAGATGTAGGTACATAAGAGTTGTGTGTTTTTTTTTTTTTTTTGGGGATTTACATAACTACCCTTTTTTCTAATGTTTTACATATCTAACACCTAAACTTTAATGTTTACTCGCATATCACGTTACCTATAGATGAAACGGTGTAGTTCACTTTTACAAAAGTTAAAATGGCAGTATTTTTATGTGACGTGAAAATTTTAGATGATATAAGCATAAAAAATCAAAATTAGGTGCATATATGTGAATACATAGGAGTTGGATGGCATGAATGTAAATGCCCTATTTTTTTAACCTTAATTTACTTATTGAGACTTTATCTTATATATGTTACGCTTAATTAATATATGTTACGCTAAAATTAGCATAATGGTTTAATTCCTTAAATTCACTTGATTAATCTTTTCATCCTTATGTTTGTTATTAAATGAGCTGTATTAAAGCCTTAATAGAGCTTGTTCGTGAGCTTTAAATGATATTGTTCACGAACATAAATAAACCAAACAACAAACATTTCAAATTATTTATTTATTAATCGAGTACTTATGAAAGTATTTAATCTCTAATTGTTGGTTAATCAAATTATAATAAATGAGTCCTAATCGAGTCAAGCTATGAGCAGTCTGTCGAAGACTTCTCATTTGTAGCCTTATTTGTAACACATGCACGTACAAACACACAAATTATGGATCCTTTCCATCTTTTCATATCAACTACTTTCTCTCATTCTAGTCTAAATCTCATAAATAAAGATATTGCATTGTTCATTTATTGTAAATTACAATAGATTTTGTCTGGATGTCACTAATAGATAACTTACAGAAGTTACTTCACTACGTTATCAACATATATTTCATTATTGATGCATTTAATGTTAATGTTTGACATACTTAAAGACAAAATTCCCATTAGTACATATTATTGATTGACTTTCTACCCTAATATAATATATATATA